CATGTTATTTAATAAGACTGGAAGAATATTCTTAATTTTTTCAATTTTCTTTTGTTGCTCCAGAACGATGTTTTGCAAAAACTTTCTTAGTATAAATATTAGTAAAAATTTGGATTAAAAAGAAATATGGCAATAGAAACTATGACATAAAAGGTATAAGCCCTGAAGATTTCATTCAATTTGGTTAAATAATTGATGAGATATTGTGAATGGAAGAAAAAATGCCATAAAAATTGTTTATGCAATGACTTGCGAAATATACATTTTTTCGAAGTTTTGTTGATAGGAATCACTTTCCATGCTCCTGAATTACACATCCACCATATAAAAATTAAAAATCAAAAAACTTTAATTTTTACTGATCGATTTCACAAATTCTGTCTCATTTCAAGTTATATATATACCCTCCTACAAACACCTACCATTGATATGTCTGTATACCAAATTTCAAGTTCGTGGGACTTATGGTTCCGAAGTTATAGCTGATAAAGGATTCCACGCCTATAGGATGCGCCACGCCCCCTTTTATAAACTCATTTATATAATCCCTCATATAAGCATCTACTATTGATATGTCTTGATACCAAATTTCAAGTTCATGGGGCTTATGGTTCCGAAGTTATAGCTGATAAAATATTCCACGCCTATGGGATGTGTCACGCCCCTTTTACAAACTGGTTTATACATACCCTCGTATAAGCACTTACCATTGATATGTCCGCATACCAAATTTCAAGTTCGTGGGACTTATGGTTCCCAATTTATACCTGATAAAAAATTCCACGCCTATGGGATGTGCCACGCCCCCTTTTACAAACACGTTTATATATACCCTCCCATAAGCACTTACCATTGATATGTCTGCATATTAAATTTCAAGTTCGAGGGACTTATTGTTCCGAAGTTATAGATGATACAAAAATCCACGCCTATGGGATGCACCACGCCCCCTTTTACAAACTCATTTATATAGACCCTATTATAAGCACCTACCAAAAATGTATATAACTGCATACCAAATTTAAAGTTGATGCGACATATGGTTCCGAAGTTATAGCTGATAAACCTTTCAACAAATTTTGGATATCCCACGCCCCCTTTCACAAACTCGTTTATATATAGCCTCCTACAAACACCTACCATTGATATGTCTGTATACCAAATTTCAAGTTCGTGGGACTTATGGTTCCGAAGTTATAGCTGATAAAGGATTCCACGCCTATAGGATGCGCCACGCCCCCTTTTATAAACTCATTTATATAATCCCTCATATAAGCACCTACTATTGATATGTCTTGATACCAAATTTCAAGTTCATGGGGCTTATGGTTCCGAAGTTATAGCTGATAAAATATTCCACGCCTATGGGATGTGCCATGCCCCCTTTTACAAACTCGTTTATATATACCCTCCTATAAGCACCTACCATTGACATGTTTTCATACCAAATTTCAAGTTCGTGGGACTTATGGTTCCGTAGATATAGCTGATAAAAAATTCCGCGCCTATGGGATGTGCCACGCCCCCTTTTACAAACTCGATTATATATACCCTCCTATAAGCACCTACCATTGACATGTTTGCATACCAAGTTTCAAGTTCGTGGGACTTATCGTTTCGTAGACATAGCTGATAAAAATTTCAACGCCTATGGAATGTGCCACGCCCCCCTTCTACAAACTCGTTTATATATACCCTCGTATAAGCACCTACCATTGACATGTTTGCATACCAAGTTTCAAGTTCGTGGGACTTATGGTCCCGTAGATATAGCTGATAAAAATGTCCACGCCTATGGAATGTGCCACGCCCCCTTCTACAAACTCGTTTATGTATCCCCTCCTATAAGCACCTACCATTGGTATGTCTGCATACCAAATTTCAAGTTCGTGGGACTAATGGTTCCGTAGATATAGCTGATAAAAATGTCCACGCCTATGGAATGTGCCACGCCCCCTTCTACAAACTCGTTTATGTATACCCTCCTATAAGCACCTACCATTTATATGTCTGTATACCAAATTCCAAGCTCATGTGACTTATGGTTCCGAAGTTATGGCTGATTAAAAATTTCACGCCTATGGGAGGTGCCACGCCCCTTGTAGGATCCCAATTTTTTCACCCTATTATAGGCCCAGGAGTCACGGCAATACTCTGTCAAAATTTTGTTCGATTCTGTCCGCCCGTTTAGGTTGCAACGTGGCACATCCATACATACATACTTCCACAAATATATAGTAGATGTACACATTTATCTATATATAACTTCATTCCTTTAGGCTATTGCAAACAACCGTTTTGTGAACAAAGTTATAATACCCTTGTGCACAAGTGCGCTCGGGTAAAAAAATCGACATTCGCAACATCCCTAATACAAAATTCTTCACATGAACGGACTGAGTGAATTCCGGAATGCGATGCCAGTGAACTCAGTTGGCATTGCCCTAAAAACCATTCTATCTTTATATTCTACGTAGTTATTTTTGGTTTTGCTCATATTATACACATGTACAATGTATGTACACATGTATATACCCTGTCAGCAAACGCACTAGTGCCGAACTGGTTCTGTACTAGAGAATTTAGAACCATGACTATGCGCGTTAGTTCTTTTCTGCATGCTAGCAACTGGCGAATTTAACATTGCGATGTCCTACAAAGTGTTAATTGCCCCATCCGTTGCGTCTCTTTTCTATAGTTCCGAATCAGTCCTATTTAAATTCTATGTGTGCGATTTTAAATTATTTTCAAAGAAATGTGTTTTCAATTTGAAATTAAATTAGTTTGAATGATGGTAAGAAATATATATAGGTTGGCATACCTTTGACTGTAGGTGAGGTATAGGTTCTTGCTGTTATTGGTCAGATTCCAGAAGGTCCCAAGATGGTAAAATGTTAACACACATTTTTCTTTTGTTTTACCAAACTATGAAAAAGCATCAGTGAATTGCAGAATGATAGCGTATTTAAACGAAAAACCCGCCAAATTCTAAATTCGTCAACCTGAACAAAGATTTGTAATGATTTTTTTTTAATTCTTTGGGACTTATGACTATTGTGACTATTTTGGACTTAGGAAATTTGCGTATCACTGAACAGAAACGATTAGAAATAAAAAAGGTAGTTCAATATTTTGAAAAACGATCCCTTTTAAATTTTTCTTGCTTCTTGCATCAAAATATAATTTTTAGAAAAAGTGGACTTTTCACTTTTAGCGAGTGATGTGTAGTTTTAAAAAGTGAAATAAAAGAGTTTTTAAAAGTACCACATTTCGCTGATTTTGAACTGGTGAGGATCTAGTTATTATCGGACTGGTTCGTTTTTGGCGATAAAGATTTAGTACGGAACTAGAAATTTGGTTCACTAGTTCGCTTTTTTCCCGCAGGGTATGTGTATGTATATATACATTTGAATGTATGCATGTAAATATTTTAAGCACTCTTCATCCCCCATAATTTTCTCCACCTGTATTTTTGACGAATTTGCTAATGCGCTGTTTTAATGGCTACAGTTAGTTTTTTTGTTAGAGGCGCTCATGCGTAGATCCACCACTCGCAGCAGCGTTAAATTATACGGTGTGACAATCAAGTGCAACATGGTGGGCGCGATATATGTATGTATGTTGTTGACACATGCATATACCCTGCAGGGAAACCGCGGACTAGTGAATCAAATTTGTAGTTCCGTACTAGGTCTTTATCGCCAAAAAGGAACTAGTCCGATATGAACTAAATCCCCACCAGTCCAAAATCGGAGAAAAGTGGTACTTTTAAAAAACTAATTTATTTCAGTTTTTTCACTAGAAATCGATATCTAAAGAGACGAATTTAGAAATGGTTCGGAACTATAGAAAAAGGGATGCAGAACGAACTAGATCTTATTTGTCGAATTTAGAACTAATTCGGAACTATCGAATAAGGAATGCAGCGGGGGGCTTGTTTACTTTACATAGATATGTGTTCGGCGGCTTTTTCGTTCAAATACGCTTCTATTCTGCGCTTCGCAGATGCTTTTTCATAGCTTGGTAATACAAAACTAAAATTTGTGTTAACATTTCAACATCTTGGGACCGTCTGGAATCTAAGAAATAACAGCGAGCACCTCTGCAAACTCAGCTACAGCTAAAGGTATGTAAACGTACATTTCTTACAATCATTCAAACAAATTTAATTTCAAATTGAAAACACATTTCCAAAATAACTTAAAATCGCACACACGGAAGAACCAAAAAGATTGAAAAATCATGATACTTTTTTCTTTCGTCTGTCGATTTCAGAACTGGTTCGGAACTATAGAATTTAGGACTAGTTCGGAACTATCGAAAAAGGGATGCAGCGGGGGGCAATTGACACTTCCTAGGACATCGCCATGTTAAATTCGCCAGTTGCTTGCATGCAAAAGAGATTTATCGCGAACCAGTACGGGGTCTAAATGTACTAGAAGCGCCCCAGTTCAGAACTAGAGATTTTCCCCACAGGGTATGTATACAATTGTGGTTATGCATACACAATTGTATGTTTTGTACCAATATGTATTTGTTCTATTTGTTTTATTATGTTCTGCATTTTCACTAAAGCAGAGCTCACACGATTTGTACATTTTCACAGTCACAGAGTCGTGTTGCTTGGAAAGTTTTAATTGGCCTGAATTATCCACAAAAATCTAGACGTATTGTCTTATGCCGTAAAGTTTTCAACAGTCAAATATATGTTTAGAGGACTCGAAACCACACCAACATATTTTTGGACAGGGAGAAAACTTATATGTATGAAAATATCAGCATGCCCCCATAGTTAAACTCTTGTAAAATTAATTTTTTTTTGTGGAACGAATTTCAAATTTGAATAGAAAAGTATTGATTTTAAGAATTTGTATATTTTCAGGCGAGATGAATTCCCATAGTTAACTATGTGACTCTGAATACAAATTGAGAGTTAAACGCTTGTTGGTTGTTAAGTTAACAATCGTTTAACTAAGCACTGTGAATCCGGCCCTTAATATTTAAAATAAATAAGGTTTTATTACTCTTCGGAATTGCTATTTTTAATTGGTTTTGAATTGAGTGTTGTCTGAGTTATACAAACAATCATATCAGCAGCTTTTGCATTAATTACTTAATTTAACTTGCTCCAAACGTTCACTCTTGGTCGCTTCGCCGCATTCATATCGTTGGTAATCGATGATTGCTACGTTATTCTCTTTCAGAACTTCTCCCACTGTGCGATCGGGATCGAGCAAGTACTCTTGATGTATGAGACAAGTTTCATCGTCTTTGTTGGCTACTGGCTTATCTTTTCCTTCCTCGCCAATCTTCACCGGATTAAGCCCTACAATATGCTGGCAAAGATTTTTTTGTAACTCGTCATCTAATCCAGCACCACGGAAGGCCACTATGGTACCATATTTACCGATTTGGGTAGTGTTTTCAGACGCAGCTACATTGGTGGAAGTTGGATGTGCGTAACCGGCCAATTGTAGGTCATTACTGGTTTTGAAACAGATCGCACGCTTGATTGAGGCGTTTTCCCCGACAGCGCCAATAAGTAACGCCAAGTGATCACCTAGTGTTTTGCCATCCGTCGTGCGGAGGTTCTTTAGCGCCTCTGCCTCGAATCCAAGCTATTGGTTTGCGTAAATGATATAAATATAAATGTATTAAAAAATTAGTATATTACGTAAGTATCTTTAAAATAATATATGTATGCAGATATCATAGATGAACACTTTGCAGAACCAGTAAAATTGCAGCAAATATATGTAGATGTTTACTGAAATAAAAATTTCATTTGCATTACCAGTGAAATTATACTGTTGTACTGACAAATAGCAGTAATCAGTAAATTTTTACTGATAATGATAGTTTTATTTGCTTATCAGTAAAACTTTCTACCGGTGACTAAAAGGAAGGAAAAAACTCAGAGATGCAAATTTTTAAATCCTTCTTTAAAAAAAGCTTCTAGCATATATCAAGTATTCATACATACTACTTATAGTACACGTTTTCTTTATTCTATACCCAATAGATTTTCGAAAATTACCTTCGATATTCAATATGCATATCGAAGAGAGAACGAACTCATAACCCACTTTAGTTTTCCAACGTTCATATTATATTGGCAATACACTCGAGATGGGTTGGAAAAAAATGGAAACCATAGTAACAGGAGAGAAAGTGAAATCCAACTCAATCTCGATAAGGGGCAGGATTTCGAATTCATAACGAAAGAAAAATACATTGGATAACGAAGGTTCCGTTTTGCTGGAGAATGGCCTAGTTCTCGAATCTAATACTAACCTATGCCACATTCGTTAGCGAAGGTTGGACTCGGAAAAAGATTCGTTTTCCAATCATTTTCGAATTGTTAACCAAGCCCAATGTTTATTGGGTATTGTGGATAGATTTTTAACTGTCAACAGCCACTGCAGTGTAGTGGTTAGAAGTGTGCACTAAAATTCCGCAAGGTCTGCAATCGAGCCCAGTTTCCGACTAACATCAAAAACAAACAAAAATACAAAGTTTTTTTAAATAGCAGTCGCCCCTGTTCGATTTTAAATCCGTTATTAACTAAGAAATCTATATTATTTGTGATTTGATTCGTCGGGAAAATAAAAAATAAATTATTCTCGAAAATTGGGCTGCGTTACACAAAAAAAAGGGGTTTTTTGTATGAAAATCCAGAATTAATTTGATTTGACGGATGAATCAAATCACAAATAAATTTAAGTTGTATCTGTCCGACGAATCAAATAAAAAAAATGTATTCATGATTTGATTCTTCAAACAAATAATAATCTTATTTATTTAGGATTAGATACAACTTTTAATTCGGAAATGAATTCTATTTTTGGATTTGGGGATCGACTAATTAAAAATCACGTAACTTTGATTTCTGCTACGAAAATCAGTTTCTCATAAAAATGCAATCGGCGCACAGTGCACCGAACGTGGACAAAAATGTAAAAATCGAAAGTCTTGGAACTTGGACTTTTTGGTATCATTTGAAAGCTTAAACTCCCGTCAAGAAAAGTTTATAACTTATCTTGTGATAAAGTATATTCTCAGCCTTATACATCACCTCAAATCAAAAATGTGTACGCACCATAGTTGTGGTAAACAATTTGTAGAAAAAACATTTTTATCCTTAACAAGATGTACTTATGCACTTTAATAAAAATAGTTACGGCGAATCCAAAAATATATGTATGTTTCATAAAAAAATTATTTTTTTTTTAATATTAAGTAAATTCATGTTTGAAAATACTTAAACCCAAAAATTGTGAAAATATAGAGACAAAAAAAAACCTCTAAAATCTCCTAAAATGTTTTGACTGTTTATGTTAACACGGTGTAACAAAATGAAAAATAAAATTGCACGAACTTTTTAAGTGACCCAGCGCAGATTGTAGAGCTGGCCGATTAATTCACGAAGCTTCAAAATTTTTCTAACACCATCAAATTCTCACTTATTCTTAAAAAAACATTTTCGCATTAAAAACCATTTTTGCATTACTTCCGGCACTAAAGAATTTTTAGTTCGGTTAATTTTTAACCAATTTAAAATTTATATATGGCTGTAGAAAGAATATTTCGATGGCTGAGTGGAAGATCGACCTATCTCGGCAGCCAGTTCGAAAACATTCTATCTCAAAAAACTTTTCAAGAGCGTCCTATTTCAAAATTCGTTTCAAGAACGCCCTATCTCAGCTGCCGATTCAAAAACGTCCTATATCAGCATATTTTCAATACATTTTGAAGTGCGATTGGGCGTTTTTGAACCGAATTTTGAGATAAGGTGTTTTTCAATAAAATTCTGAAATAGGGCGTTCTTGAAAAGTTTTTTGAGATAGAACGTTTTCGAACTGGCAGCCGAGATAGGTCGATCTTCCACTCAGCCATCGATTTGTACTATTTAAAGAAATAATAAGTTTTGTGGGCACATTGTAAATATGTGGAAAATTTTTGGAATAAATCTGAAATTTTGACCAAATTATTTAATTTTTTCCAGTTCTACCTCATTTTGTGCTAAAATTTCATAAGAAAATAGTCTCTTTTAGTCATTACTTCGGAAAGGACGTTTAATTCCGAGTAAAACAAGGTACCATTCACTAAAATCAATCAAAAATTATAAAGTTATGCCATCTTTTATAGAGACAAATTCAAATTTTTCCATACGAATTATTGAAACCTCGAAATGAATCCAATTCAACTGACTCAAATTTTCTGTAAATTATCTGCATGGAAGTAATTTTGGAAGAAATTTTTAGAAAATTCATATCCTCCAAATATGTCTATTGATTTTTATAAACGATACTTAGTTTTTCTAGGAACTATACATTATTTTTGAGGTAATGACTGAAAGAGATTATTTACATTTGAAATTTTGACATAAAAGTTTGTAGAAATGGAAAAAATAATACAAATTGGTGTATGTTTCAGATTTATCCCAAAATTTTCTACATATTTACAATGTGTTCACAAAACTTATTGCACCCTTAAATAGTAAAAACATTCTTCTTTCCAAAGCCATATAAAAACTTAAAATTGGGTAAACAATAACCGAGCTGAAAATTGTTTAGTGCGGGAAGTCAAATAAAATAATAAGTTTAGAATTTGAGCGTGTTAGAAAAATTTTAAACGCAGTTTCGTGAATTACTCGACCAGCCCTACGACCTGTACTAAGTCACTTAAAAAGTTCATGATCAGTGTTACACCGTGTTATTTGAACCCTCTATTACCAGGGGAAAATAAAATATCCTGCGCCTTTTTCCGCCTCGTAAAAATATTTCATTTTGAAGAAGTGCCTACACTCACTTTTTCGTATTTTTTATCTTATCTGTATATGGGAAAATCTTTTGAGATGGGGACATTTTGCATAATGGCATATTGTTGCCGTCACAAAGCAGCTGCACTGCCAAATGTGGTTTCTATACCTTCGTTAATGCTACTGATATGTGTAAATATCCATAAATGGTTATTCAAAACAAAACTAACGGTTTAAATTACCAGTTTACTTGCTAAAATCGATAAAATCAGGGAATATCTGGTGCAACTCGCACAAAATCTACTTTTTATTAAGGTATAACTTCTTCTTGTCGGCCGCTGTGGTGTAGTGGTAAGCAGTGCGCGCTTCCACTCCGCAACGCCTGGGTTCAAACCCTGGTCAAAGCAACATCGCAAAAAATTTAGAAAAAGGTTTTTTCTTAACAGCGGTCGTCCCTCGGCAGGCAATGGCAAACCTCCGAGTGTATTTCTGCCATGAAAAACAGCTTCTCATAAAAATACTATCTTCCTTTGTCCTTAGTAACATTTTAGGCTATATTTTTCACAGTCTTAACATTTTCATTTGGCGAACTCCACAATTTTTTGCCACCTTTCCTACGGTCCCGCGTTTCCGCAGTAAATCTATTATTACATTTACATATACATTTATGTTTACTGATTAACCATATTATTTACTGGTAATCACTTCTTGAATAAATTACAATACAGAAAATAGTCATCTGACTTCCAACTAAGTAAAAGATAACTGTAAAATGCAGAACTGCAACATATGCCTTAATTTACATTTTTGTCTGCTGGTTTTATTATTGTTGTTGGATTGACTTCAATTCGTTATGAGAGAGGAAGTACAGGTCTACCAATAAGAATATACAACAAAAGGATGAATGTCGTTAGAACTTGGAAAGATAGCGGCGGCTGATATAAAAAGCGTTACACCATGTTACAGTTTTTCTCGTCACTGTAATTGCATGATCTACACCTTTGTCTAACCTATATTTATGATAAATCTTACGGTTTAGCTGATAAATAGTAAAAATGAATTTATGTGACCTTCACCTTTCACCTTGAATAAGTTTTTTTTTTTATAGATCTGGGATCGATAAGGACTTTTCACATTTCATTTATAATGACGTTCGTAACATTCGTACCAATTTTCAGCTTTATGCGAGTTACTGCAGCCTTGAAAATCTAACTTGACCGGGCTGATAGAAAACAATTTTGAAAATATGGTTAAATAGAGTAGCAATTAAAAAATATTAGTTACGTGGGTTATCAAGTACTTCAATTGGGTTGACAAGTGATAATTTATGACAAAAAATTGTGCTACTATGTTGAAAAAAAATTTTTTTTTTTTTGAAAAATGCACATCTCAAAAGATTTTCCCGTATTTATAAGCTANATATATCGCTTTATACAAACATTTGTATATTATACAAAATTAAAACAGGTACTATAAATATAAACTTTCAATGTATAAAAAAATAGAAAAGAACATACAAATTAACAAATTTTAACTAAATAAAATAAATAAATAAATACAAAACTTGAAATTTACTTAAAAACGTCAACCAGCGAAATGTAATTTTTTTATTTTTCCTTACACACGCTCATTTTTATTTTTACTCTCCCGAAAACTTTGACTTTTGTAGGTTTGATGACAATTTGGCTTCTACCTGTTTTTATTGTACCATGCGCTACGTAAGCGAAAGCATTAAAAAACTTCATCTGAAGGATTTGTTTTAAATTTAAAACTTGATGAAATGAAAAACCCACTTCATGCGAGACCTCACTTCACTCAGTAACGGCTGGACGGATTTAGATGAAATTTGGCACACAT